AACCCCAGTCTCACAAAAAATAAACGAGTAGATAAATAAATAAAGTATATTACCTAGTAATAGATTCACTGAATTCTACTTCTCTGGGCATGTCATTTCTTCACCTTCATATCTGGAAGCTTGTATTGTATTGTATTCTTGGTTCACAGTTTTCTTTTCTTTTTTTTTTTTTTAGCCATGTGAATATGTTATTCCTCTGCCTCTGATCTTCCTTTTCCTTCTCTGAAAACCAGTGTGGGTCCTATTGGAGTTATACCTAATGAAGGATTTTGTCTTGCTGCTTAGGAGATAGCTTCACCTACAGTATTTTTGTTACCCTGTGACTTTACCGTTCTTGGAGTTGGATGATATTCCTTGGTGTGTAATTCAGTACAGATTCCTCTTCAGTTAATTTCAAATTAATTTAGAAGAATGGTAGCTTTTACTCTTCAACTATTATTTCTTATATTTGTCTTATTTCCTTTTTATCTTGTGCATATTGTTGCTTTTAAATTATCTCCCAAATCTCAGTTTCTGTTGCATTTCATTAAAATTGTCTTCACTCTATTTGGAGTGCAATGTCTGTGTTGATGAAAAATTGCCATACAAGGTGAGTACAGTTAATGCTACTAATGTATCAATTAAATATGGCAAGGATGGGGCCAGAAAGATGGCGCTGTCTGCACTGCAGCCCTCCTCGTGGCTCCTGAGCACCTCTGCAGCATGGTGAAATGTCTAGGTGTGGGACTGTCTGCAGGCTGTCCCAACTGATTGAAACACTGTCTGACCTATGCCCCATGGTCATCCTGTGGAGTGTTCCATCAAACAGCATAACGAAGATATTTAGAGTACAAAAGAAGCAATGTACAGGAATAAATATTGGGAATCCTAATATAGTATGCTTTATATAATGAGTAGCAATTTTTCCGGATTTACCAATCTTTTGAATTGTGAATGTAAGAGGAAAATGTTACATGGGTATCTACATCAAGTTACCATTTGTTGTTCGGTATCATTAGATGAAAGAAATTAAAACAAAGGAAAAATAGTTAGGGTGGCTACTGCAGATGTAGATCAGTGGGAGACGAACCACGTAGCAGGCTTCATGCTCTTTGCTCCATCTGCAGCCCCCCAAAAAAAATGAAAGAAAATTTTGAGAAGGTCCATTTTTTCTTTTGTGCTTCTTACCACATAGGTGAGTGTAAGGAGGGGAGTAGCACCTTGATATTTCTTTCTGGCAGTACTTGGTTTGAACTCAGGGCCTTGTGCTTAGCAGACCAGACCACTACCACGTAAGCTACTCTGCCAGTCCACTTCATTTCTTTAAAATATGATTTTCTTTTCATGTACCAGGCTTTCTAGTAGGTGCTGCAGAAGTAAGCCAAATATTCCTCTCCTCTTTAAGCAGACATTCTAGGAGTGAAGAATTAGGATACAGAAGTAAAATATCAAGGATGGAGAAAACGCAAGGTAGTGGTACAGAGAACCAGTGCTTTTTCAGTAGTGGCGAGAGTTACTCTCAGGGTTGGTTTGGTGCCTGCCTACATGTATTTACAGTGAAAGTCTGTCATTTCCAAGGTCTGTCTGGGGTGTTGCATGTGTGCATCCATTAAACATGAAGTACTTTGTTTTCTTGGTTAATATCTTTTGTAGCACCTCTGTTTGTATCTTGACATGCTGAGAGTGGATATTCTTGTCTCTTGCCTTATCTTAGGGCAAAAATGTCCAGTGTTACACCATCAGTGAAGGTGAGCTGCTGGTTTTTCAGAGATGGCCTTATATCAACTTGTAGTCAACCCTTTAGCCATAACTTATGGAATGTTTTCATTTCGAAAGAGAACTGAACTCAGTCAAATAATTTTTATCCATCATGATGATCCTGAAGTGTTTGCAACCTTAGTCTACCAATATTACATATTACTGTGTTATTTGTATTTGACTCCAAGGACAAACTTCCTTCAACTAGGCCCTGCCTCCTAAAATTTCTACACCTCCCAGAAGTCCAAAATCTATGAACGCGTCAATCAGTGTTAGCCTATTGATGAGTAGAGCCTATATAATCCAATCACCACCCAAATGTTCCACCTGTGATTACTTCGGCAGTGGGCACCAAGCCTTGAATGTATGAGTTATTTTCTGTTTTTGGGGGGGCAATACTAGGGTTTGAACTCAGGGCTTCATCCCTTCTGCTTAGGTGCTCTACCACTTGAGCCATTCCTCCAACCCTTTTTTTGTGTTGAGTGATTTGGAACCAGGGTCTCATGGCATATAGAGTCTTAATCCCAACTAGTCTGTAAAATTATTCAATCAATTCAGTTTCTTCTGTGTGAATGAAAGATCACCTCCAACCCTTTATATCCTATACCTTTCTTCTCACAGCAAATTGTTCTGTTTCCAGTATATTTCCAGTATAATCTCTCTGTGGACATGAGGGTTTATGGTAATACACTATGCTAGAACACATATCATGGGTTCTTTTGAGATAGCAATTTCATGTCATTTGTGTATATAGCCAGTAGTGGGAGTACTGAATCACATTGTACATTACTGAGCACCAAGATCCTGTGTTAGAGACAGGTGTAGGCATGCTGAGTCTTCCCATCAACAATGCTCCATCCAACTCAGTTCTGATTTTAGTTTGTCAGAGAATGATCTCAAAAGCTCAGTTTCTGGCTAAACTTTTATAGTGGATTCTTACATACTTTCTTCGTGATAGGAACACATTTATATACCTTGGATCCTTGTACATAAACTTGGGAAAATTTACTTAATAATTCAGTGTCTCTGAACTAAGCAATCACTTAAAACTTGTAGGTAATTGCCTAAAATATAGCAGTGGTTCCATAGATGGAATTAAATATGACCATATCCTCTGTGACCCATATCCTCTGTGACCACTGTTAAACTACAAATCTTCCTTGGAAGAGGAAGTATGTCCAGCATTACCTTGCTTCTGACAGACAGCAGTGATGATGTGGAAGGAGTCATCCTCCCAAGGTCCAGGAAGGTATGAAAGTGCTTGGAGTACATTATTATATCCTGTGTTGACCTCTTAAGTACCATTTCTTATCCCTCATGCAGAATCCAGTAAGTGACATGAAGTACTTGTATACTCTTTTAAACTGTGTTTCACTATGCTCCACTGTTGGATCTATCTATAAAGATGATGCTTCTTGGTGTATCAGTGTTTCCTGTGATACAGGAAACTGTTGCAAGTGAACAGAAGTATTAAATGCTTATGTGTCTTTTTCTGCCCCATATAGAAATTGTTTGATGTTTCCTGAGGGTACTGATAGTACCTTAAGTGACAGGAGTGCACACTCCTCCTATGTTGCTCCCATGCTATGGTGGCAGATTTTGAGCCCTTGGAAACACCGTCCCCCATGGATATTGAGTTAAAATATTTCATTCAACGTTACTCTCTTCTCTAAGATCATTCAAGTCTCATGGCAAATGTCAAAGGAGTCATTGCCAAGGTAGGAGAAGTATTTAGGATTTGAAATTTTCTTTGGCAGTAGAATATGGTGAGATGGATAGTGTGCCTTCAGGGGTCTAATGCAGCATTTATGCATCTCTGTGTTGGCATATTTTCAGCCATGTGACAAATCCAGGAGACAGCTGGAAGAAGAGTGGATATGTGGAGGAGAAACCAGTGACCCAGCCAAAACCAGTGTAGATCATTCAGCTGTCCACCTCTACTGTATACCCACAGATGACTACAGATGCATAAGGGGACCACTGGGCTCAGGATATCTTCCTAATACTCACTTTGATTGTTTATAAAAGTATTTATTTAAAATATGTCTTTCTCGTAATGCTTGCTATGTAATAATAGGCAACCCTTAAGGGAAACATGAAGGACAGTTATAATAATCTATTACTTTGTATTTGTGACAGTTCCTCTGATATTAAATACAGATTTTGACTGTTACTCTCTTATGCAAATTTATTTATATAAATGTATTTTAAAATGACTATGAGGAGATTACTTTCTATGTAAAAGAACATAGATGATTGTTCAGGAAATCTTGACACTTGAAATCACATTCTGGGTAGGAATCAAAGGTCTCCTGTGAATTGTGCTTGAAACATGAAGATTAAAGTTATTTCTGATCACAAATATGAGGGAAAATAGGCATTATTTATATTGTTTAACATCACCCATTCAGTGGTAACAGAAAAATTCAGAAAGGACAGGAACTTTCATTTAGAACAGTGGAACAATTCATTTTTATTGGCAGACCTGAAAGTATTTAAGAAGATATAGACAGCTGTTTCAACAATAAAATGTAAAATATGGCAATCCTCAGTGAATAAATACATTTACATATGAACAGTAACATTTCACATTTCAATGATTATGTACAGGGTGAAAAACGAAATCCTTTCAATAGAAATACAATGTAAGAAGAGGGAATTTGTTTCATCATGTTTCAGTTCCTCTCTGATCCTTAGGGCCAATTAGGAGACTGTTGTTTCAAATCTGTCTTTGCATTTGGCATCATGCGTTTGATAGTTAGATTTTTAAACTATTTATGGTAAGTACTGTGGGCAACAAGCTGAGTAATAAAACGATGATGAGAAGAAAAGCCCATGATGAATTCTAAAATACACCAGCTTGCTAAAATCTCCATTATTGGGAATGTCCCTTAAGTTAATGTGTGAAAGAACGATGGATCCACAGGTATAAAACTGGGTCACACAATTTCCTATAGTAGAGAATCAAACTTAGTTATCACATGTATTTTTGCACATGTTTGGAGAATACCACATGACTACTAAAAGTAGAAAAAAAAAACCATTCTTTACTATAGAAATGAGAGGAAATATCCTTTAGAAATTTATGTGCCAAGCAATAAATTACTTTAAGAAAGTATGAAAGTAATACAGAGGAACACTATTTACATTTCAGAGAGAAGAGAAAGCTCTGTAAGCTGGGCTGCATACATTTTATGAAGAAGTTGAAATTAAAGAGAGACTCCAGCAAAGAAACAGGAGTGAGAACTACTTCCAAAAGATGGTCAAAACAGGGTTACTTCCCTAAAGAGTCGTTTAAGGGCCCTTGCCATGTCCTTATTCCTCAGACTGTAGATGAAGGGATTCAGCATGGGGGTGACCACACTGTACATCACTGAGGCTCTTGCTGTTGAGTGTGAGTTTTGGGTCACAATAGAGCTGAGGTACACTCCAAGGATTGTACAATAAAATAAGAGGACAACTGACAGATGAGATGCACAAGTGGAGAATGCTTTGTACTTCCCCTGAGCTGAAGCGATTTTATGGGTGGAGGAAACTATCTTGGAGTAAGAATAAAGTATGCCAGTGAGAGAACCACCACCCAGAATTCCAGCTATCAAATTCATCACTATATTATTAAGAAAAGTGTCGGAACAGGCAATGTGAACCAAGTGATCAGGTTCACAGAAAAAGTGTGGGATTTCCACATCTGTGCAGAAGGACAGCTGCAATAGCATGAGGCTTTGGATCAGGGAATTCAGGACACTTGTGATCCAGGACACCAGCACCAGCAACCCACAGAGCTGGAACTTCATGATGACTGTGTAGTGCAGTGGTTGACAGATGGCCACAAAGCGGTCATAGGCCATTACAGCCAGGAGGAAATTGTCCATCCCCACAAAAAGCAAGAAAAAGTACATCTGTGTGATACAGCCTTCATAGCTAATAGCTTTGTTCTGTGTCTGGAGATTCAGCAGCATCTTTGGGATGGTGGTGGAGGTGAAGCTGATGTCCACGAAGGACAGGTTAGAGAGGAAGAAGTACATGGGTGTGTGCAGGTGGGAGTCTGAGATTGTGGCCAGGATGATGAGCAGGTTTCCAAGCACAGTGGCCAGGTACATGAACAGGAACAGTCCGAATATAAGGGGCTGCAATTCTGGGTCCTCTAAAAGACCTAGAAGAAGAAATTCTGAAATCCGTGTGTGATTTTGTAATTCCACATGTTGTAGGTGACTTCATAGAAAGAGAAAGATATGATCACTTTTGTTATCATGTCCTGTTTAGGAGGTCTACTGTGTCATTTCTGATTATGAATTTCTGTTTTGGGATATATACTATGGATGTATATATCCATGAAATGTTAACTATTCTGCAGTTTTAATGAGCATTTTTAGTGGTTCAGGTTTAAACTCAGGGCCTCATGCTTGATAGGTAGGTGCTCTACTACTTGAGCCATTCTACCAATCCTTCAAGAGGATTTTTTATGCACTTAAGGAATGTAAATACAGTTCCAGACATGTTTCTGGAATTGAAAAAGTAGTGACGTTTTGTTGTTCAAATAAAAACACCCCACAATCCAAATATGGAGAAGGAATAAAGGAATACAAAGAAATTAGAAAACAGAACTAGAACATGATTTTGAATATTTTCATTTAAAGAAATGATGTATGTTCGGGAAGGGATATATTTGAACATGTTGCAATGTACACATTTATTAGAGCATCACATTTTATCTCATAAATATGAACAGTTTTCTGTATCTGAAACCAAAATTTGATATGAGATTTAACATTTCAAGGAAGGAAAAAAGACAGGTAAAGAAGAGGAAATTTGAACAGATTTAGAGACTGCTTGAGCTACAAGATATTATGCAGAAGTGTGTGAGACAGCAAAGACAGGCAGCACAATGGGCATTATCCAGGAATCAAAATTCAGAATGAAAGTCTAGTGATGACCAGAGTGAGCAAGATGGGGGTGAAGGAGAGATTCTGTCCTGGAATGTGGAGGAAGGAGGTAGCCTCCTTGCCATAGTACTGCAGAAATACTAAGATTTTCAAGGTGCAGAGTCCTTCATTCTTATGCTGTCTGTTTCTATATTTGTTTTGTGGAATAATTAATATACGGTAACTGCACATATACAATGTATACAATTGGGTGAGATTTGACACATTCAATCACAGGTCACACCATCACTGCAATCTTTTCTTTAGACACATCACTTACAGACTCTTCTTCACACATCTTTTGTTCCTTACTTTGTTCCACTTTTCTATTGGAATAATACAGATAACATGAGATGTCTTCTCATGGTAAATTTTCAAGTGCTCAGTATCGTATTGCTAATGGTTGTCATGGTGATGTACAACATATATCTGGAAATTAGTCATCTTGAATAGTGATAACTTTATACCCATCAATAAACAACTTCTCACTCCCTCCACCACTCTATTGCATGCATATGTGATTCTGACTAGATTGGATAGTTCATGTCCATAGCATTTTAATTTCAAAGGCATTGTACGGATCAGAGTAGGTTGCTCCTTATTCCCCTTATTATTTAGGATTCAGCATGTATATAGTGACAGTCACAATTCGGCCAGATGAAGACTATAAGTAGGGGAAAATTAAGGAATGTTAGAGGAGTGAATAATATGAAAGTATATTGGATCTGTGTATGGAGATGGCATAATGAAATGGCATAACTGAAATGCACGGTTGCATGATAGAAGGTAAGAGTAAATGTAGATTAAAGAACAAAATATTAATGGGTGAAATACCCCTTTGAACAAAGAATATACACTTTAAGAATAAAGGACAAGAATGCAAAACAGTTCCTATTAGGGTTGGTTGCTAGTTGGGGCTTGAAGGGATAGGGTAAAGGGGGGTGATTATTGTCAATGCGTTTTATGCAATTAAACTTGTTGAATTCATTATAAGTGAGGGGAGAAGAGGATGAGGGAGAATGATGGTGAATCTAACCAATATAAATTGAAAGCATATATGGAAATGCCACAATGAAATTCCCTCAGTAACTCAAAAATGATAATAAAAATTTTTATAAAGGAAAGGATAATTCAACGCCAATTTCCCTTTTCTTCATAGGTGCAAAACAATCCTAAATGAGTTACCAGCAAAATGAACTCATCAGCATATTAAAATGATTATTCCCTTTTTAAAATATTTGAACTCCCAGATCCTAGTTCTGAGGACAGTTCAGTCTGTCATTACCTCTATAATATCCTCTCCCTGTCATGATGTGAGCACTTTCTTCATAAAATTCATCCCCATGGTATTTATACTATATAAAGATTTATTGCATTTTTTCTGTCTTTGCCATTTAATGAAAGCTACCATTGTGCAATGATCTTTCCTTCTTGTTCGTATTAGTACTTTCTCAAAGGTTAAAAAAAGTAGAAAATGTAGAAAAGAATTAAGATTTTATGGACTGAAGATGATGAAGTAAATTGATTCAAATCAACTGCTTTAAATGAATTTGAAAATATGAAATAAATTCTCCACCCAAATATTTAAGATGACAATAAGTTAATCCTATCAAAATGAGTCTCTTATACAAGATTTCATTGGCAAAGATATGGAAGAAACACAAGAAGACACTTTTGTAGAAACTGGGTGAAATTCTATAGAAATTAATTTTACTCTGCATGAACAGGATTTGATTCAAATATATTTTGACACTTTACACATGGAAATAATGAAATTAACTAATAACTTATGAAACAATTCTAATAGCTACATTTATTAATTAAGCACACTGTCCCCATAAAAGGAAAGAAATTTAAGAAATAATATGGAGAGTTATTGTCTCACTCTTTCCTCACAGTACCATGTTATGATAATTATATACATTGTGCAGAAAGATCTCTACAATTATAGCAAAGTTTCTCTATATATGGCTATGCTGTTAAATGATGTTGATGATCTTCAATTGAATACAAAACCATACATTGTAGGAGATGGCAGAGATGATAGCTACAGATGAAAATAAAACTGATCTCAAAGGATAAAAATTTAGCAATAAGAAAACACATGGATACATTTGTAAATGCTACAATGTACACCAACCCAGCACAGCAATAAAGGGAAAAAAAAAAGAAAAACATGTATGTGATAAGATGGCAAAAGCCATAAAAGGAAACTGATTACTGGCTACTAATGAGTATTCTGTAGGACTTTCTGGATGTTAAAATAATTAAGGTGTTGTGTCCTCAGTATTATTGAGTAATTTGACTGTACAAAGTTTATTAACTGTCACACGCCTCCTCTCTCTCTCTCTCTCTCTCTCTCTCTCTCTCTCTCTCTCTCTCTCTCTCTCGGTCTTTCTCTTTGCCTATATGTATGTATGTATGTATGTATGTATCTTTCTATCTACCTATCTATCATCTATCTACCTGTTTGTGTATATCATCTACCTATCTGGAGATCTAAATAGCAAATAGAAAACTTGCTGGAAAAACATCTTATTCTTCCTTTGAAAAATGAAATAAACACATAAAGTCTCCGTAAAAGCAAAAAATTACAGAAATAATTTGGAATTGCAAAGAGATGGAGAAAGCTAACAATTCACAAAATATATTCATTCTTAGCATGAATGATAGAATTGTTAAATAATTTTCTTCTATGAAATAGAACTTATTTTTCTCATGTGAATTTCAAGCTTGAGAGAAGACACTGATATGTATGACTTACACTTTGTTGTTGCAAGATCATATGTGAAAGGCATTCAGTCATCTGAACTTTGTAATGAATACAGAAAAATATACACTATATTAAAAACTGAAGAAATAATGTCCTCACTTCACTGAACATGCCAGCATTTCTAGTATTTAATTATCTTCCTCTGTAATTGCCAAAGCTCCTCAGACAAGCTCTAATTTTATTGGGAATACTTTATATCACATGTTCTTTCACCCCCATCCACTTGGATTTCATCATCATATAATTGTCGACAATGATCAGTGTATTGCAGAGTCTACAAGACAATTCTTTTAAAAATGTTAAACAAGATCACAGTTAATTCAACACTCAACATACACAGGAACCTCTCTGTTACAGGTTTAGTTGGTCCTCAGGGGACAGTTGATAAACTCTGAATCTTTCCTAGGGTACCAATCGGGGTCACAGACTCACCAGAATGGAGCACCCAAGATGAAGCTTTCATGTGGAAATCTCGATTCCTCCCTGAACGATGATATTGTAGACTGAAGCTCTACCTAGACAAAATAAACAGTAGGAACCCAAGCATTCGTTCCCTAATGAGGCTTTTAATTCTTTTTTTATAGGTTTCAATGTTATCATTTTGTTTATTATATATAAATTTGTAGCACATCATGTTTTTATACCACAGATTTGATGTTTGAAGAATGAAAGCCTGATAATGCTTAGCTCTGACAAGAATAATGCAAGAGAAAGAATATTATATTTTAAATTGAAATGATATGTATAAGTTAAACTCCAATTTAAAAGAAATTCTAAATTGGGACATAACCTATTCTAGGTATGAATCAGTCAGTAACTGGGCAGAATTAAGATAAACATCATTCAATTTAAATTAAAATTTCAGTGTTTCACTGTGATTCAAATAAAAATAAACACCACATACACAAATAATAAAACAATCTTAACATCACTTTTTGTTACTTCTTTCTGCCTTTTTAATTATTGTCATTTATTGTTGTAATGGGGTTAAATGATGACATTTACTATTCTTACTATTTATATAGGATTTTAATTCTGAAACTTACCATGATGTCCTGTCCAGTTCAAGAGTGTACCTTCTGAGAGAAAACACCAGGGGCTGTATTTATGCCTCCCTGCCTGCTCATTAGGTATATTTCCTCTTGTTACTCCAACTCCTAATCACTTCATTTCCCCATGGGACATTGGTATGAATAGAAAGGAAGTTTTTCTGGCTCGTGCTATGATCCCTAGAGATCGGGTTAATAATGAAGTGAATCCAGTCTTTATGGACTCTTGGTGCACTATCCTGACTTCTTGAATTCTAACATCCACAGTGTTTCTGGCAAATCCTTATTTCTAATCATCTCCAAAGTCTGAAGCATCTGACTTTGCTAGTTTCCTTGAAATTCAAAATCCCATTGTATGGAAAGCTCACAGCTCTTTACAGCTTCAGAAAATTTCCATTCCCTTTTCATCAAGGGAGACAATGATATTCATTTGTTGTAAAATCATGTGA